CACCGCCGGCTGGGGCCTACGGGCAAGGAGAGCCACGGTGAGCGGGGAGCGGGGTGGAGAGAGAACCTCCGGTTTGGGGAGCCGGTAAAGCTTCGGCTTTCCCGTGTGCGGGGCCTCTGGACGGAGGTTGGATCTGCTCGGTGGGCGGCTTGGGGAGGCACCCTTGCTGCTGCCAGGGGAGGGTGCCGGCCAGGAGCGGGAGGCCTCAGGAGGAGACAAGGAGAGCGCTTCTTACCTGGCATCGTGATCTCCTGCTTCCCCTTCTCTGGGCTGAGCAAGCACCAGCGTGGTTTGGGCCCTGCGTCTGGGCTCAAGTACTGGGATGGGATGTTTCGGTAGGGAAACGCTCCTTTTTCCTCTGTGCTTTCCAGTAATTGCTTTCTTTTTGCCATAGCCCTGAAAAGGCTGCGCGAAGCTGCCAATAGCAACGACTTGGACACAGGTAAGTCTTCTGCCAGTCCTACTTGGGACGTCTTCCTGGAAGGGCAGTTTTGTCAAGGACCTTTATTTTAGGAGAGGAGGAGGAGGGTGCAGGTAGTTTGTAGGCATGGTGCTTTAGATGCTGCAAATCTAGAAGGTGCTTTTCTGGAGCCTTGTTTCGTTCCCTGAGCAGAGTGAGGCTGGTTATAGTATTCACTTTGTCACTGTGTTCTGGTTCATAGTGTTAGTTTTCCAACTGCCTCAAGCTAAATCAGCACTGTTCCAGCTTCTCTGGTGTGTAACTTTTGCCTGGTTGTAAGCAGCAGGAGAGTACTGTTTTGGTAAAGTGGAAAAGTTATATTTATCTAAGCCATACCCTGTGTGATGAGACTGTGACCAAGTAGATCACAGCCAGGACCAGCGCTGGACTCTGCCTCTCACAGTGACTTCAGAGAAGGCTTGTGGCCTATCTGTGACTCCCTTTACCTCTCTATACTGTAGATTAGGGGAGGTTTGATAGGAAATGTCCAGCAACAATTTTGGTGTATGTTATCTGCCTCTTATCATTGTCCCTCCTTAGACTATACTGTCCCCTCAGCTGTGCTGTTCATCAGGGCATTCTGTGAATAGAATTGGAAACTGGTTGGACTTGTAGAAACTCCGAGTATATTAGAACAGAGGTTTGTCTGGTGTGCTTCACCCTTTGCCTCCACAGTACACCTTGTTTCATGAACTAATGGATAAAGTTCGTGTGTGAGCTCTGTCAGTGCAGAAAGGCCTGGCTTCAGTCACCAAGTCAAGAGGAAGAATGAAAGAATTGGGCTTTATGAAAGTCTCTGTTTCAATCCGTCTTAGAATTTTACACCTGTATTTGATACACAGGTTCCCCTCTTTACAATCGTGCTGTGTTTTGTGTACTCTGCAACTTGAGGAAGTGTCTGATGAAGAATTTATTCTTCATCAACAAGTAAAAATCTTTGCTGTTTCCTGTGGTGGCACTGGGTGGGAGAGGTTATGTCATTTCCTGCTGGCTTCAGGGAAGGACTAGGTAAAGTGTTCCCCATTAATGGTTCTCACTGGTGGCGCTGTGAGTCTCCCTATCTTTCTTCTGGAGTGTCAAACATCCCCTGTTAGTGCCGCTTCCAGATTTTCAGATGTTCCTTTCAGTTCTGTACCACCCTTAAAGCAGTAGGTGTACAGTAAGGAATTAAAATCTGACTACAGTTTGATCTCTGGAAGCTGAGATGAATGGTGACTGACAGTGGTCTGAGCTATCTAGTTTCTTGTCTCCAATACTGGTCAGTCTTGGCTGTGGCAGGATATGCTATTAAAGATCTAAAATACAGCAAATCCGTCAGTATTTTTAACACCTACAGAATGAGCTTTATTTTACACACTGGTGACTATAACACAATACTTTCAAAACAACAGGAGCCATAGCCCTTACAGCTGCCCTTATGCATGTTGCAGTAGATCATACTTTTATGTCCCTAAGCTTTGCAGCCTTTACTGGTCTCTTTGCCTTTGTTATACCCAATACTGGAGTCACACTAGTTTCTGTGTCTTTCTGTGTCTGTTTTTTCCTTCTTATCTGAGAAAAGGAAGTAGTTCAGGTTACAAGAAGTTCCAATGGTGGCATTGAAGAAGTAGCTGGGTGGAAAAACAGGGGGAACAAGTGTGAGTAGATGATGGTATGGCTACTCGAGCTGTTCACTAGCTCACTTCAATACGTCTCCTAAGGGTATATTTGCACTGCTGTTGGCAGGCTGGGGTACTCGCCTACCCGCTTCCCAGACAGTAGCCACCATTAGTTTGGCAAAAACTAGGAGTTTCAGATGAATCTAGGAGGGGGTGTATTCAAAACAGGTGTGAAGAGGTGGCTTTTCTCACTGCGTGTGGTTAACACTGTGAAACTTCTTGCCGTGGAACCATGCTGATGTGAAAAGTTTACACAGATGCAGAAAAATGACCATGGAATTGTATGCAGAAAGCCCATGGAGGGATAGTAAGCTAATTCTAGCTTGGGAAGAGCCTGAGATGCAGCTGACTAAAGGCTGTGAGAGTTAGCCCCACATCCTTTCTGTCTTTTTATAGTTTTCTATAGGCATTTGCTGCTGATTGTCCTTGGAGCTTGAAAATTTTTCTAGAGGGATCCTTAGCCTTAACTGTTACAGCTCTTGGTTTATCTTTTATGGCACTACATGGAAGCTGGTGAAGGATGTAACAGAGGGTGGAGGGCACGCCGCCTGGGCTGGTTCTGCTGCACAACCGGGAGCTGGTTCAAGTCCAACTGACTTGGCATCTGGCAGAGTGTGATTCTGCCCGTAGAAGAGGGAATAGCATCACCCCTTTCTGATCAGGTGCCCCTTCAGCTTACCTGTTTTCTTCTCCTCCTTGGGGCTGTCAGTGCAGCAACTCCTGGAGGACGGAACGGACCCCTGTGCGGCGGATGACAAAGGCCGGACAGCCCTGCACTTTGCCTCCTGCAATGGCAACGATCACATCGGTGAGTGGGGCGGGGGAGTTCTGCCTTCCAGTCTCACCGCGGCCGAGATTTCGAAGGATGCTTTTTATTTTGATTCAGCACGTGACAGAGATTGCTGTTTTCTGTGCGTTTTTGTGGCAAAGTTGCCGGCTGAACTCTGGCTCCAGGGCTTGCCGTAACTCCCTGCTGAAGGGGGAGCAGGAGCTCCCAGCTCTGGGGCTGTACTGGTGCAGAAGGAAGGGTGGCCTTGGTCCCGATTCCTCTCCTCGGGGAGCCCAGGGGCAGTGGCACTGCCTGGCTTTGTGCTGGGTCCTTCAGCTTTGCTGCACAAGCCTCCATCCCCTGTCTCTGGGAGGAAGCTGATGAGCCGAACAGAAGCACCCGGACCTGTGGCCCATGTGGGCCTGACCCGTGGGGCAAAGGGAAGGGACTGACGTGGCTGTGTTTACTTGTTTCCAGTGCAACTGCTTCTGGACCATGGGGCTGACCCAAACCAGAGAGATGGGCTGGGAAACACCCCCTTACACTTGGGTAAGTGCCACACAGATGAGCTTTGCATGTGGAGAGGTGAGGTGAACACTGCCTTGCTGGTTTTTTCTTCTCCACCTTCCTCTTTCCTGTGCATCACAGTATGCATCCCCAGCTTTAACAACCTAGGAGGGACTCTTTGCATTTCACTCCTCACAAAGGTTTAAGGGTCAGAGTTTGAGAAAATCCATTTCCCTCCCTTTGCCAGCCTCGAGGAGTGCAAGATCTATTCCAGAGGGAGTACTCAGGCTTGAGTGTGAGGTTGCCTTTAGCAGTTGGGCTATTCCTCTTTCCCATGGCAAAGAGCCCTTTGGGAAGGAAGAAGCTCCACTCTTGAGCAGAAGCTCCTTTGTGTTTGCTAGTACCTCTGAGTTGCGTGTCCTGTGTTTTCCCTCCCCAGCTGCCTGCACGAACCATGTTCCTGTCATCACCACGCTGCTGCGCGGAGGTAACATTTCCTCTATAACAATTACAGCCTGTCCCTTTCCTGCCCTGCCCCTGTTGATACTCCCCAGGGACACCGAGTCTTGAAGACAGACCTCACTTTCTGTCTTTGCTTACACATCTTGCAGGGGCCAGAGTTGACGCCTTGGATCGAGCTGGCAGAACCCCACTGCACCTCGCTAAATCAAAGCTAAACATCCTGCAGGAAGGGCTCTCCCACAGCCTGGAGGCCGTACGCCTTGAAGTGAAACAGGTAAAAGAAACAGTGCTGTGTTCTGGTTAGGTGGTGCAGCCCCTGGCAGTCTCCTGCACCCTCTGAGGGTGAACTATCATTTAGTAGCTGTTTCAAATACCTGTCTGTAGGCTCTTAGCTGCTCTGGGGAGAGTTTGACTATTTCCTTCTGTTTTCAGAGACCTTCCTTTTTTCCCAACCACTACTCTGAATTTTTGCAGGACCTCTCTTGGCTCTGGTAGGCCAAGGATGCATTGAATGTCTTAATTCTCGGGCTATATGGAGCGTTCTCTTTCCTTCAACCACTGTGTAAGACAGATGCCTTGTGACAGGAGAGGGACCACAGCATGGGGCTGTAGCTATGGCGTACACACTCAGGGACTCTACAGTCCTGGCACAGTCTGCCCTGCTCCGATACGTGGGGGCATAGAGTAGGACAGCAGTCACGGGGCTGCATCATGAATGCACGAGGTGTGGGCCTCGCTTCAGGAGCCACAAGGATTTTCATCCTCGGTGCACAAGCAAATCCTGCTGGAGTGGGAAGTCCCTGCTCCTCACAGCGAGGGAAGCTAGCTAGCCATAAAGAAAAGCTTGATGCTTTCAGGGCTGGACCTTATGCTTTTTCAGCTGGGCCTGTCTCTCTTCCCTTAAACCAGGCACAGGGATCACGACTAGTCCCTCTGTGGCTGATCAACGCCTCTGGTGACTCACTGGGCTTTGTTGCTGCCATTAGTGCTTTCCAGTTGCTTTGCATGTGCGCTTCTCTGTGGGTCATGTACGCTGCCACGTACCGCAGCGTCAAGGCTGTGCTTGGCAATTTGACTGCCATTTCTTTTTCCTGTAAAAACATCCCAGCCTGGTGCAGCTGTCTGATGTTTCCCTCTTATGCCCGTTGGTTTCAGATTATCCAGATGTTGCGGGAATACCTGGAGCGTCTGGGGAGGCACGAGCAAAAGGAGCAGCTGGATGATCTCTGCTCCAGGTTACAGATGACTAGCACAAAGGAGCAGGTAGGCAGCGTTGAGCTACCGTGACTCACCTACTTGTGTGTTGTGACTTCTGTGTTCGGGAGAATGCAGCTGCATGAGCAAGGTGGCATTGAAGACACGGTTATGGAAGCGTTCTCGCTCACGCTGGGTAAAGTGAGCAAGTCACATGATAACTCGTGGTACTCCTTTAGTTTGGAATTCAAAATGCAGAAAGCATTTTGTGTGCCTAGCGGCTCGGCAGAGAAGCCAAAGATCAGATGGGCCGAGGGCACAGGCATTTTAAGGACGGGATCAGCACAACTACACAGTGTTGCAGGGTCTGTTTGGGTTTTCTTCCACAAAAGACTGGCCCTTAGAAACAGGCTTAGAGGGAACAGCCCTGATACCATTGTTGAGTTCCGGGTAATGCAGCAACATGCTTCTGTTTATAAAGGACTGGCTAAATCGCACGAGGTGGAGGTCAAGCACTGACCTCCAGAGGAAAGGGGAGAAGCTCCTGTTGTCTTAGGTTAGGACTCGTTTGATCGTGAGGACAGGAACCCTTCTACACAATTGTGGGACCAAAGGGATCCTGTCCTAGTGTAAGCTCAGCATGGGCATTACTGGCAGTCCTGGTGCAAGGGTGGTCCCTGCTGCGTGGGGGTTTCTTCTGTGGTGGTGGGCGACTGCGCAGCTGCATTCCCCTGCCTAACAGCCAGCTGTATTCTTCTGGCAGGTGGATGAGGTTACAGACCTCCTGGCGAGCTTCACATCACTCAGCCTGCAGATGCAGAAGATGGAGAAGAGGTAATGGGCTTCCAAATCATCTTCCTGATGCAGCAGGAGAAGCCTCAGAAAGAAAAAGAAGCTGAAGCTTGCTTCCCAGATTGCTGAATAAACATTGCTGCCAGCAGCTGTTCCTGCCAGATCCACTCTCTGCTGGTGTTCAAGACTGTTCCTGTTGGTGCTGCCACAGCTGCCTCACGGGGAGGCAGCAGGCTTTGGACAACAGACAACAGAATGCTGCAGCTCAGACTTTTGGGAAAAAAAAGAGCTGCCCTTCTTTTTATCAGATGGGCTGACGCTGCATAGGATACCCCTTCCAGAGATATTTTGCCTTCTCCCAAGCACTTCAGCTTGATGTGGGTGGTGGCCGATGCCATGTGCAGTCACCAGCCCTGACTAGTGCATTCGGCAGCTGGCCGACATCACAGAAATGCTTGGAACCTTGTGCCACCTCCACAGCGCTCACTTGCACGGGGGACAGAGTGGATGCCTCGGTCAACAGAGGGCTTTGTGCTGTGAGAAGAACACACAGTTAGTTCTGTACGCTAGCAGCTGAGCAAACATACTGCCTTGAGAAACACACACCGAGGTTTAATCTGAACCTTCCCCAGAGCCTGCGGTCAGAGGGCAGAGAATCTGTCTGGTTATAAATGGGATACAAAGCTTTTAATCACTAGACTAACAGCTTTCACTGGCCCTGGTTTTTAAATCAGTGCTGCAAGTTAGTGCTTAAATACTACAGTGAAACATTTGAAAAAAATACCCAGGCAGACAGCTAGCCAGTCAGGGCTGCCCTGATGCAAGGGTTGGAGGTGGCTTAATCCTCGCGCAGTTTTAGGCAGACATCTACATCCTGCCCAAAAAACCCCACCGTAACTGACTTGTGTTTCCTGTTCCTGGTGGTCTCGGGCAAGAGGTCCAGTTGCAACAGGAGGTGTTGTGTATCCAGCCGTATTATTGGGATGGAGGTGGATATATGGCTGCCTCAGCAGCACCAAACCCAGAGCTGACCCATACTGTGTTGCTTGCTTGTCATGGAGAGGTGCGGCTCCAGGACCTCAAGTGCAGCATGAGGAACGAGTTATGACCTCTGCTGGGAGCCTCAAGTGATTGCAGCTATGAAGGATGCAGGGAATTGCCCTTGCTAATCTCTTGCTTCTGCCCCACTGTGGTTAGTAACGAAGACATAGATAGCTTTGTTCTGGAGCAGGGATCCATTAGTCTTGTTGTCAGTAGTGCACAAATAGCAGCAGGGTGACAAGAACATGCCCAATAGAGTTCCCACCTGTGTGCCACACATAAATGACACGGCGTGCTGGTAGCAATACCCATCCCACAGCCTGGGGACCGCTGATTTGGAAGCGTTCATTCTTAGGATTCAGCTTAACCATGCAACAGCCACGGTCCGGAGCGTTCTTCAGAGATCTTCAGGGCAGCATGTTCTTTAATATCTGGCCTCTTGTCCAGGAAGAGGCTAAGTGGACCTCCATGTTCAAAGCTGAGTTACCAGAAATAGGCATGGCTTTTAGATGGGTTCATCCATGGGGTGCTGAAGGCCATGACTGGGGCTAATGGTCTTGTGATTTGGCTGGAGCTGTCACTGTGAATACTGCTACTTCGTTACGATACGCTGGATGGGAAGGATACCGAGGGGGTGGGAGACAATCTGGCCTTTTTGTATTTAGAACTTCAATAAAATCCTATCAGCCTTTTTGGACTCCTCAGCCAAGTTCTCTCTTTTTGAGAACTGCTCATTTTCTCTTTCTTTACCTATGTTCCAGGCCCCACACACAGCACTGGACTTGGTAACTCCTGCTCTCGTACCTGGTGCTGAAATCAGAAGCAACAACACAAAGTTGTTTGAATTCAAACACCAGGCTGTTTGCAGATCAAGGTACACAGTTGCTGACTCACCTTCTGATCTTGACTCCCACAGCCAAGAAATTTAAACTTTGAATCTAGTTAGATGCTGTGAAACTGTACAAATACAGGAAAGAGAATCTCAGTGGGATTGCTTCAAGCTGGAAGATGGGATGTTTTGGAATGAGGGAAAACAGCATTGCCCGGTCTGCACTGCTGCAAAAGTAAGGAACCGTTGGGGAGAAGGTGGCTGAACTCGTGCCTTGCCCTGTGCCAGATAAAATGGCTGTGCTGTGAAGATACAGCAAGGGGATGAGGGGCTGGGGCGGGACATCTGGGCAGGGCAGAGAATTCCCAGCGTGGTCCCTGTGTGAGGAGCAGAATGTCCCATCTTTACTTTCCTTGTTTCTTCCTGGCTTCACAGCCTCGTCTTGGTGTCCACATACACGCAGCTGCCAGCGCTTCTGCACTCAACAGCCTTGTTGCTGAGGAGACCATTAGGGTGCCTGAAGAGCAGGCGGCTGAAATGCTCTTTATCGCTGCAGTTACCTTAGTTGCTGGTATTGTCTGCTAACTAGGCACAGCTTGAGAGCTTTCCTCAAAACCAGGAATAACGCCTATCTGGGACTCAGAGAGAAGCTTTTAGCCTGAGCACACGTGATGTTGTTGTCCACAGATTTTCAGGCCTTTGTCTTGCCTGGTGCTGGAGAGAAGAGTGGATCTGGTTTTCAGTGGGGAAAAAAAATGCATCCTATAGGAATCATATTCTATGAATCACTGCAGTCAGGTCTGATTTCCTGCCTCAGGGCTGAAGCACTGGGCTTCTGAGAGCCGTATCATGTGTTTGGCACTGGACTAAGAAAAGTTTTAGGTTTGTTTGTGTCAGCTGGTCATGCCAAAGCCTAGACTACCCTGCTGTGCTCAGCAGCTGTATCTAGAAAGAGAGTTAGGTCCTGGGGAAGGAAAAAAAAGAAAGGAAAGGTTCCAGGGGAGGAGGAGATGTGGCTTCATGCTGCACAGAGAGCTGCTCACTGGCACTGTTTTTTCCACTGCTTCTGGCCTTTCCCAGCAGCTTTTCCCCCTGCCCTTGTGTCCTGGGCCACAGATTTCCCCACGCAGCCCATAGGTGGGAGACTGGTGGCAACTTTCTGCATCTCTCAGAGGTGTTTGCTGCAGTAAGAAGTGTGAGAACAACAGCACAGGTTTCCCTCTGCTATTTATTTTGCCATTAAACTTAGTCCAATCTCCTCATTTTCCTTGTGCTACACCACGAAGCACACCTTCCAGGTCCCTTTCCTGAGCAGTGGTACATGCCCCCACCCACCCTCAGGGCCAGAATGTCAACCAGGACTTGACCTGAGGCCATGCTTCCCCCTCACTGCCTTCTGGCCTCCAAATATACTCCATTTCGCCTCCTCATGCAGAGCACAGCTCTACAGTGGCATGCTGAAGCCCCAGCCACTGAAACCAGCAGCAACCTCCACAGCTTTATAGCATCTCTGCTGTAAGACACAACCAAAACCAGCCAGGTCAAGGATCTGGCTCATCCAAGCAAGTGAAGACTGAAAACCTGCTTGTGTCTCACTGAGGACGCAGAGCAGAAGCAACAGCCCTCAACAAAGCTTCCCAAGGAAGCTGCATGGATGTTATTAAGCAAAAGGCCTTTCTCCAAAGCGGCCACTCACCCGTGCAAGCGAATGCAAAGCGCACACTGCAGTATATGCGAGCATCCAGAATCTGTTCAACTCTTCAGCAGCTGAAATAATTAAACTCCAGGGTATTGAGCCAACATCTGAACCCCATTACTTCCTCCACCTTGGCCTTTCTAGCAGACTCCAAATCCATCATTGTAATTATCCACGCTCCTAAAGAAGCCCCATGAAGCATCTCTGGCAAGACTCCCACCCTTTCATCTGCTCCCTCCGCTCATGCTGTGAGCAAGACAGAAAAGTACTTGCCTTCTTTGTGCGCTGCGCCTGGCCAGTGTGGGAGAGCAGCCCTGGGCAGCTCAGGGCCCATGGGGCGACTAGATGGAAGAGACAGCAGTTTTGATTAGGAAGCTGATAAAGGAGATATGGCAAATAGCGTTTCTCTAGTTTTTTTCTGAAAGCTCTGAGAGAGTGCGTGGTTGTTAGAAGAATTAAATGGTCAGCTGGCAACCTGCTCAGGCTGGTCATGGGTTAAGAACCCAGCAGCTGAACCCAAAAGCAAGTAAGCAGAATTCCCTATAGCTAATAGCGCTGCGTGCCCTGACCACCCCTGTCACACTCTTACTTCTCTGCCTGCGAGCCGGCAAGGCTGTCCTGCTGCGAGCCGCCTTTGCAGGGCCCACCTGGCTCTTGGCAGAGCGTCTGCACAAGGTCCCGTTCCCAGGAGCTCGCGGGGAAACACAGGCAGCGCTCAAGCCTGTTGCTCTGCCGGGGAATTAGGAACTGTCCTCATTACAGCTTTCCGTCTCCCCCAGCCCCACGTCGGCAGACAGGGAAACCCCCCCACCAGGGCTGCCAGAGCCGCACGAAGGGGCAGAGGCAGGAGGAGCTTCTCGGCACCTGGGTCTGACACCTCCCAGCAGTGTGGGGCTACCACGGCACGCACGCTGGGGAGATGCCAGGCACCAGAGGCAGCACGCAGCTGGCAGGACTACGTTGCCCCGAGAGGGTAGCTATGCCCGGCTTGCAGGGGGGCTGGTGCTGAGCACTAGCCGCAAGGCCCCGTCCTGCTGTCACCTCTCCCGTTCCCAGTGCCAGCGCCCAGCAGAGCTGCGCTCAGCCCACGTGGCAAAACAGCCTCTGCAGGGTTAAAGCTGAGCTCGTCAGGCTGAGTGATGACAAGTAGGAAAGAAAATATAAGGAAGGAGTCACTAATTAAGGTGAGAAGCTGTGAGCGGGGACTGCAGAATGCAAATCAGTCTGGAGGGGAAGCTGCGTGGAAAGCAGCAATTAAGCTCCTTCAGCTTTAATTAAACCTGGCTCTATAACAAGGATGTGACACCTTTTCTTCATCTCTGCCTTTGAGCCGAGAAGCCAGTTGGAGCGTGTATGCTGTTGCTGGGCAGACAGGAATACCCTCCTGGCTCCAGAGCCTCCTCAAGCCAGGCTCAGTGTCTGCCCTTCCCGCTCACGTGCTTCCCAAAATCAGGGCTTAGCACCAGGCAGAGCTTAGGGATGGGAGCCAGGGCTTGCAGACACTTGCTGCACTAAATGCACATTCTCGCCCAGGTCTTCTCTCTGCCCTCTCTGTCCTGTTTTATTTAGGCTTCACCCCAATGTGCAGCAGTTTGTCTGACCTGATCAGCTTCCTTCGCAAGCTGGGACCAGGATGAGCACGGTCAGGGGGTGACCAACAGCCCCGCCGCATGTGGGCAAGAACAGGCAGCATCTGGCTGTGCCGCATCACTGCTCCCGACTGCTGTCCCTTCTTACTCCAGTGCTTTGGGCTGTGAAGTGAGTCCTCACCCACAAAAATGATGTACACGTTCGTGTTACCTGGAGGCCATGTGAGCTGGCCACCAGCCACGGCATCATGTGCAAAGGGCAGCTGCAGGACTAGCCGTCCCCGAGAAGGTGGGCACAGCACACTGGACATGTTTCCGAAAAGCATCGGCGACACAGGAGTGGCAGCCACCACAGGGGAGGGGAACTGGAGAAATCAGAAACAGGGATAGGAGGCAAGGGAGGCTGCAGGTGCAACCATCAAACACTTGAATGGAAAAAGAAAAATAATTCCCAGCGCAGCGCTTCGGGTGACCTCTGCACAGGGAACGGGGTGTCCTTGGAGCTGAGCTCTAGCGAGGCGTGCAACAGCTTCAGTGAGGGTTAGAAGTACCACGTTGCCTGGGAATTTTAAGAGTGGGCAGGACAAAGCAATAAGGGAAGATTTAGGCAAGCAGAAGCAAGGGGACAGACAGAAAAAAGAAATAAAGGGGGGGGGGGGCTCATGGCTCTGCTCAGACACATCACAGCTCTGCAAGCCCTTTGCTGCCTGATGTCCCCCAACCCCGCTGTACAATGCTTACAGCACTGAGAGCGTCGAAGGGCACAGCTGGGGCCCAAACCCCTTTACTTTTGATGCAGCCTCCAGCTGCCTCACCAAGGTTCCACCGTGCACAGGGACAAGCAAGGATGCTGGCGGCTTCCGCAGCCCGTGAGGGGCTCAGGACACCACTGACGGGGCTGTGCAGCCTCCAGCAGTTTCTCGTTTGACACAGGCTCATGTTGGCAATCGGCTCCCGACAATCAGCAGGCTGGTAGTAAATGGCTCTTCTCTGCCAGCTGGTGCTCCCTACCGTTAGCCTCCTCGCTGTTTTAATTAGCTGGAAATTGAGGAGCGCAGTCCCTGCAGATTTCCAGGCTACAGCGCCTGCCGTAGCACCCAGTCCTTGCGTCTCCACCTGGAAAGTCAGCCTGTAGGGCTTTGCCGGCAGGGATCTCTCCATGCACATGCTGGCTGTGGGCAGTGGGGTGTGGGGAAGTGAACTGCTGTGGAAGGAGAGTGATCTGCCTCGTTCAGGGCAAAGGTGTTCACTCTGAAACCTACTGCTGGCTGCCATGACGATGTGCAACTGTTACCCAGCTCCAGTGTGGAAGTCTGGAGTGTCCCACAACTAAAGTCACTAAAGAATTTTGCCGAGTTTTCCCTCTTTCACCTGCTCTTACGGCATTATGGGTGCAGACCTGCCTCATGTTAAGAGTTACATAGTCATGAGCCACACAGCACTAATTAGATACCTTATGTAATTAAGGAAGAAGAAGGCTGTTGCAATAATATAAAGTTTACTGTAAATACTGAGCTGGGATGGCAGTAGGTCTAATGATTTGTGGCTGAGGCCTCTCAGGCCTGGCTGCAGGATTGTGGAGGGAGCAGCTGAGCAGCTCTGTGGAGCTTGAGCTCAGTTTTATGGGTCTGGATAAGTGAGCTCACTTCTTTCACTGCCAACAGAAAACCGTCGCAGTGGGGATAAGGTGTGGACCTGATGATCCTGGCCTCTCCTGGAGGAAAGCAAAGCCCCTGGGATGCAGTCAGGAAGTGTGATGCCAAGAGCATTTCTCCCTCACCTCTCACCATGGAGGTCCATCGGTTTCTTTCCCTTCCTCAGGGCTTGCCTGGCCAGCAAAAGCATTCTCTTTCCCCAGTCCCAGTCTCTCAGGTGACTTGTCTTTGCCCCCTTCCTAGGCCTTCTTCCAGGGCTTGTCCTACAGCATCACCAAAAGCTTCCAACCCACAGGACTGAGGCTTAGGGGCTACGTCTGCACTGGCAAATGACACAGGATCTGTCCTGCTTGCACTTGCAAGCCAGGTGGCATCACGGAGCTTGTGTCCCCACACCGAAGCTGCCTCACCCCTACTGAGGATGGTCTCAGGCAGCTGCAATCACCACGTGGCACATGGACTTGGCCTACTGGGGAAGCCAAGTACCCTGCTTGTCCCCCTTCCCCTCTCTACTCATGTCACGACTATGTGACAAAACCGACTATGTGACAAAACCGGAGCTGCGTGAAGTCAGCCATGTGCCTGGCCCTGGTTCTGCCAGGCACGGTGGCAAATTGCGGCTGTTGCAGCAATGCACATCCCACCGTCTCTCTCCCTCTCCCCTGTGCGCTAGGCTGGTCAAAGGCCTTGCTTGGATCGTGTTTTTTCTGGGCTTCTCTGGCAGCCTGATGATGCAGAAAAATGCTGGAGAAAGTTACCATGGGGCTGAGTGACGCTCACCCCAGCTCCGGAGCAGCGTGACGCTGCTGGGGTGGGGAGAAGGCTCCTTCCAAAACGTGGGTGCTCTGCCAACACATTGCTTCCCACCTCCCTCATGCCCTCTTGTCCTCCATTCTGCCCTCTGCTTCTACCCCCTCACTTTGGCCTGCCTTCTCGCTGCCGCTTTCTGTCCCTGTGGATGGCTCCCGCCCAGCCCCCCAATTTCTCATTCATATTGCCCCCCTCCACCTGTCCTCTTGCCATCCCTCTTTTTCCCTCTCTCTGCTTCTGTCTCCCTCTCCCATGACTTTCTCTTGAACACCAGCAGTGCTGGATCTGTCTTAAAACTCTCAGCTTTGCTTCTTCTGTACATTTCTGCAGCGTCTGCAAAGTCAAATAAAACAAATGATGCCCTGCTAGTGCCTCGGGAGCACCAGACCGTGGTCAGACGGCTCATGCAGCCTCCACCACCTCCAGCCCAAACTGCAGAGCCCCTTGCTGGGCAGAGATCGTATGCAGCACACAGCAAACGTGTCAGGAGAAGGAAATTACCAGGGTTTATTAAGGTCGAGCAGGGGAGAAATTCCAGCACCTTCTGGTGAATGTGATTTCTTGTCGCACCCCACCATTCCCACGGCACTTCCCATCCTTCTCACTGTCAGTCCACGAGGACTCTTGGCCGTGCTGCGAGGTGTCATTGAGCTGCTACCACAGCCAAAGGCTCCTCTGCAGTGCTCCCAGGTGGACATGGGTCCCACAGCAATCCTATAACGGTGGCCAGCTTGGAAGATGTCCCAACCCACTGAGCGGTGCTGGCCTGGTGCTCTCCTGGAAGCCCTCTCCATCAGGTAGAAAGCGGCACTGAGGAGACAGGACTGAACTAAGTGCATATGGGTGTGATGGGCCTGTTTCTCCTTTGCCTCACTGCAACTGTCACCTGGCTCCACAGCTCATTTTGCAGCTTGGCTACTTTCTTCTGCTTTGCTGACAGCCATCAATTCGCTCACAATCATCATCATCATCACATGGAAAAAAATGTCTGGCCAAGTCAGTAAACCACACACATGGGGCTAATATCACTGAACAACGTCACTGCTCGGAGAGCAACAGCTCCTTCAGCCCCAGAAGGAAGGGATGAAACTCTGAGTAGCCAGCAAAGATCAAAGACGAGGCAGCAATCCCTCAGGAATTTGCAAAGGGCAAACAGAAAGTAAGCATACAGGCGGATTAGGTGGAACAATGTGGTGGAAGGAGTTAGCACGCTGGTTTAGGAAGAACTGAGGATGTCTATCAGGAATTATTTCTGAACTGTGAGCATTGGGACAGCACCCTGCAGGATCTGCTTGCAAGAGCTAAAGCTAGGTGGGACAGAACTCTAGGAAACATATTCCATCGAGTACTTTTGGTGGAGCAGGGTGGAGAGAAGAGACTGGACAGATGGTCCTTTCCTCCTTGAACTTCAGAGAAGCCACAGATGCAGAGGGCAGGCATGCAGAGGTGTCGGCACACAAGCCTTTCCATTCTTCAGCTGCCACGGCATAAATCATTTGAGTACAGGTAGTGACTGCTGCAGAGTTTGGATCATTGAGCTGTTGGCACAGACGGCTGGCTTTCTTGTACATCAGCCAGCGTGGCAAAGGTCCTTTGATCTGAATGCAGGGGCTAGGGAAGGAGATGAAGGTGGACAAGGGCTGCCCCTGGCCCATGGGAGGAGCAGGGCCTGTGGGCAGGGAACAGTGTTCCACTGCTTGGGGCTGCCAGGGAGAGAGGCTACCAGCTACCCTATTCACACTCAGGTCCCCATGCACTCTCTCCACCCTTCCCACCCATGCTCGATGTGCCCTTAAGAGCCTGAATTTCCTACCAGGATGTTTTCATTTTGGTTGTCTCCCTCTTAGATTTTCAAGGTGCTGCACAAAATTAGCAAGTTAGGAAGCTGGGAAATGGAGGCCTTAAAAGCTGTTGCAAAAATGCCACCCAGGTCACTTCTCATCACATTAACATGTCCCTCCATTCTGCATCTGTACGGGTGGAGTGTGCCTTTCCTACATGAATGCTGTGTGCCAGTGAGTGAAGGTAAGCGGGGACAATAGGCTAACCATTGCCACAGGATCTTTTGGTGGCTCTGCTGCATCCATTCCCCTCTGCCCCACATTATTCTGCCTCTTTGGGAATGGAGTGGCTGCTCACTGGCTGGAAAACAGGTTTCTTCACTTTGTTCATCTGTAGTGAACAGTCAGAAACTCATGAGTTCCTCTTGGAGGGGTCATAGCTAGGGGATGGCCAGCTGTTGCCAAACTTTCTACCTCCAGCAGGTCCTTCTGAACAGAGACCATGGCATCTTGTAGCTGATGAGTCCATGCTCTGGCATGTCTGGCACTTTCAGGGTCTCTCTTCCTGGTGTTCTCCTCTGGGACCTGGGTCACCTCAGTGTTGTCTCCATAGAAACCTCTGGTGCTGTTGGTGAAACCTTTGCCCACATTGACCACACGGACTTTCTTTCCAACTCTCTTCTTCTTCTTCCTGGTCTTGTTCTGGAAGAAGAGGCAGGTGAAGACTTGCTTGAAACGCTTGCGGAAATGCTTGGAGATGAGGGCGTAGACAATGGGGTTGAGGCAGGAGTTGGCATACGAAAGGCAGTGGGAAGCCAGGCGGCAAGCATAAGTGGCTCGGTTGAAGGGGAAGTGGCCAAACCAGAAGCACAGAATGACCAGGTGGTGGGGTAGCCAGCAGAGGCAGAACAGGATGGCCACAGCCACAATCATCTTGGTGACCTTACATTTGGCCTTCCGGGACTCCAAGATCCTTTCTATGGGGTCTACAGAAGTCCACAGGAACTTGATGGTCCTGGCATATGCCAGGCTCACCACGGTCACGGGCAGGAGGTATCCAAAGACAAAGGTGAGGATGTCCAGAATCTTTCGGCGCTGGTCCTCCCAGATGGGGATGCAGATGGGCACCCCGTGGTAATGGACTATCTGGTAGTAACTGAGGTAAGGCCCCGCGAAGAGCAGCGACAGTGACCAGATTGCTACAATGGCCACTCCTGCGTTGCGGGAGGTGCGGAGATCACGGGACTTCAGCGGATAGCGAATGGCCAGGTACCTGATGAGGAGGGGAAGGAGAAGGAGAGACCAAACACACATGGGTGAGATGAGGTACCTCTCCTGCTCTGTGGAGCTGCATCTGTGCATCCCTTCTCATGCAGCCACGCATCTCTTCCCCCTCCCTGCCTCTTGGTAGGAAGGGTTATGGTGAATTCACACAGATCAGGGTCATCCCAACAGTGGGTCTGGGATCTCCATCACCCACTCTGCTGTGCCAGCTTGGGAAGGGCAAGCAGCAATGCCTCTTGAACGAGGGAAGAGAAGGATAGGAGCAGGACCTAGAAGGCTCCCTGTTTCTCCTGTGGCGTGTTGCTGCCTTGGGGATTTTGCTGTTCTTGGTTTTGCATGGTGGACACCAAACCTCAGCATGTGCCTGCAATCCTCCTTCCCAAGTGAGGGCTGAGTAACCAGGGGAGGCTGGCTCTGCTGGCCCTGCCTCTGGGGAGACCCTACCTGCTTCTTACAGTACACTAAACAGGTTAAGGACTGGCCTTTTCCCCACCTCTTAGCTCAAGGGTAGCAAACAACATTGTTCCTGAGCTGAGGGACTCAAAGGGAAGGGGACACTTACCTGTCAACGGAGACGGCGGCCAGGGTGAAGCTGCTGGCATACATGGTGAGGTAGATCAGGAAATGCACAGCCTTGCAGGCAAAGGCCCCAAAGAGCCATCCATCCAGGGTGTAAATGGTGGCCTGGAAGGGGACGCAACAGACGATGAAGCACAGGTCAGCCATGGCCAGGTTAAGGATGAAGAGGTTGGTGGTGTTGTACTTGACTTGGCCATTCCGCAGCAGCACGGCCAGCACCAGCCCGTTCCCCACAGTACCCAGGAGGAAGATGAGGGAAAAGATGATGGGCACAATAATCCCTGCAGCGCGTAGCTCTGGGCTGTCGGAAGAGGCATTCCATCCCCCTGGCATCTCCTCATCTGACCGTGGGGACCTGTGCAGGGAGAAAGGGAGAAACAGCACCTGCGCATGGCTGTAGGCACATGGGTGCTGGTCGGTGTTTACCACAGTGGCCACTAGAGCTCTGGCCCTGAGGTGCCTTGTCCTGGCCTTTGTTTGATGCCCACGTTTCTCCCAGGCATGCCAATCCCAACCAGCTGGTTAAATGACAACACCAAGATCTTCAAGATGTCACTGGCAAGAATGCTGTTGGGATCAGTCAGATCAGCAGAGCTGAAGCCCCTTCCTTCTGCCAGGTTCACATCCCCACCATGGCGTCTCCTGTACTCCCAGCCCCCTGAAAGACCCTCTGCTCTTCTGCCTGGCCTCCCCTACATTCCTCCTACAATCCCAAAGCTGCTAAACCTCTTGGAACGGATTGCTTTGGCAAGTCTAAATCCTGAATGGTGTTCAACAGGGCTCAGCCATGAGGCTGTGGTAAAGGGGGCTTCCGTGGGCTGCAAGTGGTCCTGGCACACTCACCCCAGGGCTGTGCTACCTCTTGCACCAGGGACCTGATGCCTGGAGGACACCCTGCAGCAGCAGCACCCCACCACACTCCTGCCCCAAGGGAGCTCCTTAAGCTGGGAGCACCTCCATCCTGGGGCTGGCTTCTCCTTGCTCCCTTTACGGTAGTTATGCTCCACAGAGGAGAGGAAAGTAAGGGCACCTTTTCCTGGTGCTGAGAGGTGGTCACAGGTTAGATGGTGGCGCCTAGGAAAGGATGAGGGGGGAGACCTCAGAGCCACCTGAAACACAACATGATGATCATGGCGAAGGAGTGTATTATTACTGCAGCTCGAGGTATTGTGATTTGCTTCAAAACTTCCTCCAGCCCTGAGTAACACCATGCTCAGGCAGGGAGCGCCAGCAGCCTACTTCCTAATGAGCCTTCCCCATGTTATGCTATCATTAGAACAAATTGTCCTTCACTGAGCAGCAACCAAGAGGGAAAGACACTGTTATCTAGCAACTGTTGACATGCAATTAACTCTTTTTTTGGGTCATGCAAGCTCCTTCACCCCATGCTCCCCCATCCCTCAGCTCACACCACTTCTTCCCAGCAGCCTGTCTGTATCACACCAAAAAGCTGTCCCTGCCTCTCTGGCTCTTTGGTCCCCTCTGTCCTACTGTCCCCTCTGGCTCCTCCATCTGGCCCCATCAGATCTCCCTGGTCTTCCTCTGGGCATGCACCTCGCATGTAGACTGTTGGGCACCTCTGGGTGCCAACATCTCCCTGCTCAGGGAGCCCGGGGCCACGTCTCAGCTTAGGAAGCCAGCACTCACCTCTGTGAGGAAGGGCCTGCAGCTTCGAGCTCGGTCCGGCTCAGGCAGCAGTGGTGAGGAGGACGCTGCTACTGAAGAGTTTGTCAGGGCAGCACCGTCACCCCTGCCTGGTGCTCCGCTGCCTCCTCCTGCCTGCCACCAGCTCTGCTCTCTCCTGGCTCCCACACTGTCTCTCTCCTTCTGGAGCTTCTCTCTCCTCTCTGTCTCCCCCTTTTCCCTCCCTCTGCTCTTGCTGCTGATCCATTGATCTCTGTTTGTTTTTTTTTCTCCCCTCTCCCTGAGGTTGGGTTTGGAGTTAACTCCTCTCTGCCCAGCCTTCCAGCAGGATCAGATGCTCCCTGCTCCAGCATGGAGGAGGTAATGGAGAAAAAGCCCACTGCTTTCCAGTGAGAGAGGGAGGATGGAGTGGGGCACGGTCCCATGGACCCCAGCAGGCCTTGCAGGCACCCCTCAATGCTGGATGCTCAGGACGTGTGTCCCCACACCTCCAGGGAATATGAATATTCTACCACGGTGAGCCTGGCCCATGCCCCATCCTTGGGATATGGGTCTAAACCCTCTGAGGCACGAACAATTAATTGCTATTACTAGCTGTTATTAACTAATTCTTAGTAAAGCATATTGACTCTCTCCCCCAAAGACTGACACAGAGAAGGAGGGGAAAGCAGGTTTTGGTTTCTGTCCAGCCCAGGTCTGCCCTCCATCAGCATTGCTGGGGCACTGCAGTGTGGGGAGGGAGGACAAACCGCAGAGGCCATCTCCAGAGGTTCAGCTCCGTCACAGCTGCCTGGGACAGCACGTGTGCCGGCTGATGTGCCGAGAGGCAACAGTGACGGACACAGACCTCCTGCCCTGCCGCCCTGCAGCTGCATCCACCCCCGCAACAGGACCTGTGCCCTGCGGACTTCCAGGTGCACTGAGGCTGAGCGTGGCTTAGTGGTCCTTTCCTGGTAAGACCCAAAGGCCACCAGCTCCCCTTCGCTGGGGAGGTCCTGGACACCTCTTCCAACGATGAAGCAGGATGCAGAGGAGGTGCCAGCCCCTTTTCCTCCGCAGCAGCCCCAACGCCCCTGTCAGCGGCAACCCTTGGCCTGGCAGGAGGGACAATGCGGCCTCTCCTCCCCGCCTGGAGGGAGTGAGGTGTCCCCGCCGGCTCGCTATCAGCTGCTGTAACCAGGGAAAAGGGGAAGGCCATGCCTCGGGATGCGGTGATAACCAGGGGGATGCGGCGAAACTCAAACCCGCAGCCCGGCACAGCCTGCCGCCG